GAGAAGTAAACAGATCAGAATGCTGGGAGGAAGAGGAAGTGAGCTCAGACTGGACAGCTCTGCTCTCTGGAGCAGAGACGCCATGCTCTACTCTCCCGGGCAGATGCGATAGCTCTGCTCTCTGAGGCAGATGCAATGAACTCTGACCCAGGATGGACATAGGCTAGAATCTTCCTGGTAAGCACACCTCGTGGTGCTACATAGATTATTAGAAATGGGTTAAGAGGTTGAAACTAATGGGCCAGGCAGTATTTAAAAGAATACAATTTGTGTGTTGTTATTTTGGGGCATAAGCTAGCAGGCTGCCAGGGTGCTGGGGACGCAGCCCCACTGCTCCTATTACAACACAGGAAAGGTTAAATTATCAGGGACTGAATACAGGTAATGAATACTGCCATAATAAGGATTTAAGTTTAAGTATTTTTCTAGTTCTAATTATGTCAAAGGTTTTTGGTATTTTGATGTCAGATAAGCAAATCAAAATATGTTTGATTGAGAAAATATGCAATCCCATGTGAGATTCCTGAGCTTCTGTTCTCTATAATGATTCTAGATGAATAAAAATACATTGAGTTTCAAAAAAATATTAGAAAGTTTAAATCAAAGCACTTTGTGTGAGTGGACAATACTGATCCCAGAAATCATAGAAAACTTCATTGCTGGTGTTGGGATACCGTCCTAGGAGTTGCTCCCTATGAAGAGTCTGAGTATCCAAATAATAAAGGCAATTGTCACTGTTGTCATTTGCCCCCCACTAAAAAATGAGCTAGTAAGACCATATTTCTATAAACATCCACATATGCTTGTTACAGTACATAAAGAGAGCAAGCTGGGAATGGGCTGAAACATACCTTTCTGCTGACTAGTCCTCATAGTACCAGAAGGAATTATGTAGGTTCTTAGTGGGAGATTGTTGTCAGTAGTATTACTCAGCTATGGAAACTGTGATCTATTCTTAAATACCCTTACAAGGTATGCCAAATGGTGCAATAATGGCAATTGTAGTATCAGAGTAGCCAATATTTTTTGGATTGAAAAGAGTTAACATTTGGTACAGTCAATATAGGTAAATCTCCATGCTAAGAAATAGGTCCTAGTGTAGAAGCCATCACTGTTTTTCTGTGAAATGGACATGGCATGCACATTAAATTGTCTTCTAAGTAGATGTGTTTCTTCTTATATATCACTATTATCAGCATGGTCAAAGGTGATTCTTCTTATAGTGGGAAGAAATAATTTTGCAAACTCAAAACTGGTCCAAGTGCTGAGAATAAGTGCCTTTTCAATTGATGACCATAAATGAATAACCCAATAAAGGGTTAAGAATCATGGATGAAGAAGATACAATAATGATATAAGAGCTAAAAGATTGAGTAGAATGGTGTGGAATACTGTCTTCTAGACATAATATGGTCATAGCACACTTTAACTCATAGTAGCAGTGATTATTTCACACAACCCACACAAGACTGGGCTCTTTAATATTCTACCAAGGAGATAGCAAGTACTTCTAAGATTCTACACCTTCCCTTTAGATTTATAAGCAGTTAAGCAAACTTGGGTGTCAGTGCTCATGAGAACCTTTTTTAAGGATCTATATGTAGTTAGTGGTTGCTGCTAGAAGGGAGGTACTTTTTCAGTAGAGCAGCTACGTTAAAGTGTCCATGTTTCTGTAAATGACTCCTCACTTGTGTGCCTATAGCAAGCACAATAGCCAACTGTGTCCCAACACACACATGAAGAAAAGGAACATGAAACTAGAAAGGAGAAATAGTTGAAAAGAGGAAAAGGTTATGCAAATATAGAAACAGGACAAGATGGATTAGTGTGTCATTATTGTGGTCAAAATACATACATGTGTAGAAATATAATTTTTGAAAAACATAATTGTATATAGTTGATACATTCCAACAAAAGTTATAAAAGTATAAAGTATAAAGAATCCCTGCCTATGAAAAAAATTTGAGACAAATAAGAAAATGTGACTGAAAATATTTGGAAAGTTGCATATTAACAAAATGGTGTATGGTCAGGCTAATAGATGGGAAGACAAGTGAAAAAAGACAAGAAAATCCACAAATAAGAAGAGATGTAGGAATAAAACCATGTGTTATTTTTCTGTTGCTCTGATAAAATACTATGAACAAAAGAAATTTAAGGAAGAGACATCTTATTTTTGGCTTATATGCTTAGAGAATTAGAATAAAAGATAGGGTAAAGTAGGCACTTGCAGAAAAGTGGCAGGCATGGCTATAGAAACTGGGAGCTCCGAGTCATCTCCTTAACTACAATCATGAAACAGAAGGAAGAAACTAGAAGTGGTTTAAGTATTTAACCTCTCAAAGCCCACACTCAGAATATACTTCCACCAGCAAGGCTGTTCCTCATAAGTCGTCTAAAATATTGCCATTGATGCTTTGAAATAGTGTTTAAATACAGGTGTCTATTTGGAGCATTTGCCATTCAAACCACCAAAAATGATAATATCTACATTAGTACTAGAAAGAATTCCAAATGTTGCCAGAATAGTGGGCCATGGGGCAAGATGTTGCTGTGCACTCTTATGCAATGATGTGTGAGAACAGGAAGACTTCACAATTATATTTGAAATGGTCATGAGACTTGAATGCACAGATTGGTTGATTGTAGAAATATATGATCAAGAAAGATGAAGACTACATAATATACTAAAGGCTACAGATGTATCTAAGTAAGATAACTTACATGACATTTGGGTTTGAACTCCAAATATAAAAGAACATGGTAGTAAGTGCTTGTAGTCTAAGAACACAAGAGGTAGATGCAGGAAGAGAAGAGTTTCAAGGTCTTCCTCAGCTACTTAGAAAGTTCAAGTCCAGCCTAATCTATAGCTCACCTTGTCTTTGAAAAATGTCCCTGAGCCTTACCCAGTTCCTATATTTAATGGGACACTCACCATTTCCTTTGAGGAACCATTCAAAGTAAGTACTCAGTGACTCTGGATTCTTAACAAGATTTGTCTTACACCAGAAAAAATAACCAGACACAAGTACATCTCTGGGATTTCTGATGACATAGATCATCTAAAATAGAAAAACATGTACATGAAGGTCGCTATAGTCATTCACCACTTTTTAACTGGTAAAATTATTATGAAATCCCAAACAGATATCCATGAGGTTTCTAAAACATTAATTATTTTTATTTGGTCAAAATGTATACATAAATAAAAATATATGTAGTCAGAATCCGCTTGATAATTTTATATGCTTTGGAAAATGTAATAGCAAATTGACAAAGGTGACTAATACTGTAGAAAACAAAACAACAACAACAACAACAATAATAATCCAAGACTGATTCTAAAGTTGTAAAGATCAACGTCTTTCAGGGTAAGGAGCCATCTATCCACTAGAAAAGGACATCTTACATATATAAAGTGATGAGTATTGTGCTAAATCTATCTGCAACATGACAAACCTATTGTTTTCTGTAACTGTAACTACCAAATATACCTCTCAAAAAATCATGGTGCAGAGCTTAATGTCAATGTGTCATTCCACGATGGTGGAAAAAAAGACCTACAGGCAACTAAGAAATGCAGAGTCAGAGAAAATAATTTCCAGTGGGAAAAATCATAACAACTGGGTATACAATAACAAATGCTCAGTCCTGAAAAAGTACATTCAAGGAACATTGTACAGACTGATTAGGTTGTACTTAAGTGTTTAGGAATATACATATATGTATGTGTGTATGTATATGCATAGGTATATGTATACACACATATATAATATATAATGTGTGTGTAACCACAATTAATGATCAAAACATGGATATCTCTGATAGCTACTGGAGTTTCTTTATCAGGGACATGGATGATGATTCCTATGGTTACTGATCTCAATGAACAGCTAGACCAGAAAGACATAGTAGGTAGAGATGAGCCATAATTGTTGAACCATCTCCATGATTAGAACTTTGGTGCCTGTTCAGGCTGCTTTCCCCATGAGCAACTCTGCCTTGGTTAATTCACCCACTGTGCATGGGGTATTTGTGGAATCAAAATTGGCTAATTGACTTTCATGACAGCAAAAGAGTAATAATCACTATACATTAAGATTTTAACTCTGCTTGGCCTGTATATGTAGCTCCTGAAAGTTCTACTGTGATACTTCATTTTTCTCATATATCTGCCCAGGATCTCTGTGTGGTGGTTGACATCCTTTTACTCTGATACAGTCTGAGTAGGGGACACATCAGCATCACCTAATGCTTGGAAATCTCAGTTTCCTCCCCTAATCTATAAAATCAGAGTGTATTTTAGCAAGAGCTGCAGAGCCTGTCATGGTATACTAGGTTCAACGAACCTTTGATCAAGAATTTCTAAATGCCCCTTGACTGAAGAATGGATAAGGAAAATGTGGTACATTTACACAATGGGGTACTACACAGCAGAAAAAAAATGACATCTTGAATTTTTCAGGAAAATAGATGGAGCTAGAAAACATTATTTTGAGTGAGGTAACCCAGACACAGAATGACAATTATCACAAGTACTCACTCAAAGCAAAGAAAACCAGCCCACAAACCACAATCCCAGAGAACTTATACAACAATGAGGACACTAAGAGAGATTTACATTGATCTAATCCACATGGGAAGTAGAAAAGGACAAAAATCTCCTAAGTAAATTTGGAGCATGGGGACCTTGTGGGAGGTTTGAAGGGGAAGGGAGAGGCAGGGAGGGGAACAGAGAAAAATGTAGAGCTCAATAAAAATCAATTAAAAAAAAAGAATTTCTCAACCTCTGGACACTGACCTTCGCATTGGAACTGAAGAAAGACCTGGGAAAAATATGGAAGGGAAGGTGGGAGGTGATGAGGCGTGGTCCTTTCCTGTTGATTAATAACTGATATCCTTCTTCATTGTCTATCCAGGGTGAGCGTTCCCAAATGGGAACAGATTGGATCCACTTGGGATTCCCTTTAGTCTGAATCAAGCAGATCATCTCAATTAGCCAGTTAGTTCCTGAAAAGAAGTGATAGCCACTCATTTCCAAAGTACTTGTGAAAAAGCCTCAAATAGAATACACAACCATACAATTAACAGTGCAGCATTTCCAAGCCACAGATTTGTTTTGCTCACCATGTACATATGGTGTTAAGTACAAAACATATTTATCCAGCAATTCCCAATGTTTTACATGGAAAAACTAAGACTATACTCAATATACTGTACTTGCCTACCGAACATCTCTTCCAGTTCTCAGCCATCACCATTCTCCATTTGGGTGCAGTGAATTTGAGTAGTCTATATATTTCAAAGGGATGCAGTCATGAAATCTGTCCTTGAGACTGACTCCCTTTTTAAAAATGCAATGCCATTGAAATGCATCCATGTTGCAGTGTGTGTATGAATACAGCTTCATTTTAATATAAGTAAATCCCTTTTTGTCTATTTACTGCACACACTCGTATTTGTGTTTAAATGCTCATCTGTCAGTGGATATTTTTCCAACTTTCTTCTATGGTTACTGTCTGAATCGTTTCCTGCATTCTGCTGCACTTGGTTTTTCTATATTATTGTATTTTTCATGTTAGCAACCTAATACATACTCAAAGTTCAGTGCTTCTTCCACTCTGCAAGCATCCCTTCCCCAAAACCCACGATGCCTCTTTTTGGTTCCTTGAGATTTAAGTCTCTTTGCACTATCTGGACAACAAGCATGGTGATTCACCTGCATGACACTGTAGTCTCCACCACATATTCTTATATCCAGGCCATTTTTTCTTCCGATGCTCTTTCTTTTGTTAATTCTCATCTTTCTCCCTCTTCCACTCACTCTTCCACAGAGAGACACAATGCCAGAGTCTGCCTTAGGTTTCACTGCCATTGCTCTCATGGCTTAACTGATCCTCTGACCATACAGATCAAGGGAGAGGTCTTTCTCTGAGTGTAAATCTGCTGACGCATAGCTCTTCATGCCCTCAAATTATTTTAAACATCAGATAATCAGATATAGAGAGCATTTCTCTCATTGCCTAAATTAATGAGGATCAACTCCTAACCTTCCTTATATAGTTTAGGATCATTCTCACTAACTCCTTACCTGATTTGGGGTAATTCAGTATGACTGTGTCTTCATCTCTCACCACAAATTTATCACGGATATCTTCAAGTAATTCTTTTGTATAAAACAAACCAGGGAAAGGCATCCCTTCAAACCAAAGGTAGTCTGACATGGCAAAGAATTTTTGTGGATGATATTATGATTCCAGATTCAACTACCTGTTCAGCTTCTAGCAAATCTTGAGAGCTAAAATTTATAGTGTGGGAAAAGAAATTATTAACAAGCATAGTTTATTGTAAAACTAGCTACTGAGAGGAAGAAAGAGATATTGTAGCAACCAGTCAAAGGTTGTTGTATTAAGCAACTGTGAACTCATCCAGAGATCATTCTTTAGCATATTTGAGCTTGAGTTCATGACTCCACACTAGAAAGTCAATAACAAGCACCAGGACATAGAAATGGGGATTGATTTAAAATGTTTTTTTAAATATAATTTAGCTTGCAGAATGCTTTCAAAAATGCTTTCAAATGTGCAGAAAAATTACAGAGATCACACAAAATTGCCATTTGCAATTTTTTTTAAAAAATAGTGGTTGTTTTCGAGAATTTTAATGTTCCTTAGCTACACTATATGACTTTCACCATCTCCCTCTACTCCTTCATTCATCCCCCATTTTCCACATTTATGATGTGTTCCTTAATTTCCATTGCTATTTGCACATGGTAACATATACATATAACCTATGGATTCCATTTAGTTCTCTATGTATGTGAATGTATCCTAAACTGAGCACTTTTGATTGTACGGCCAATATGGGATTTCCCCTCCTGAGGCAGCTGATTCTTTCTCTTTTAGCAGTCATTGACCTGCTGTATTTCTTCATATAGGGATAAGACCATGTAGAATTTCCTCATTCTTATTTGAATACCACCTGGTGCCATTTTGCTGACTAATTTAGTGTGGGTGCCCACAGTGACTCTCTTTGATAGAATATGATTCCCTATGTTTTTTCAAACATCCTTAGTATTATTTAGCCCTCTTTGCAATATAGCAGGAAAAATAAAACTCAGAACCAGATATTGGGGTTCAACCTGAAGATGTGGAGGTTTCTCAGGAAATTCGGCATCAACCTACCCCTGGATCCAGCAATACCCCTCTTGGGAATATACCCAAGAGAGGCCTTATCATACAACAAAAGTATATGCTCTACTATGTTCATAGCAGCATTGTTTATAATAGCCAGAACCTGGAAACAACCTAGATGCCCTTCAATGGAAGAATGGATGAAGAATGTATGGAATATATACATATTAGAGTACTACTCAGCAGTAAAAAACAAGGACTTCTTGAAGTTTGCGTGCAAATGGATGGAAATAGAAAACATTATCCTGAGTGAGGTAAGCCAGACCCAAAAAGAGGAACATGGGATGTACTCACTCATATTTGGATTCTAGCCATAAACAAAGGACATTGAGCCTATAATTAGTGATCCTAGAGAAGCTAAA